ATTAAGATTTTTCTCTTACAAGGTTAACAACTGTTAAGATGAAAAAAATTCCTCTCAAACTCTGAGTCTATTCATTTTGATGATCATCATCATTATCCAAACATCATCATCATCAGCATGATCATCATCATCATCCAAACAGGTTGCAGCCAGGACTAGAGCTGTGCAGTCTATTCCAGACCTCCAGTTTGCAACCATTCTAGTGGATAAAATGCAAACAATGGAGTTAAACAAAAACAACAACAACAAAATGGTTTCACTAGCCAAGCACTTACATGAAAATACAAATATCTAACACACAAGAAAACCAAACCAAAAAGGCATGAAAATGCGTAGCAGATTGTAAGGAGTCCTCACAACTGACTCTACTGCATTTCTTTGGAAGTCAGCACCACCACATTCCCAAGAGAAACTCTGCAGAAGTGCAGCCCAACATGAGACCCGTGGACAGCAAATTCTACACTGCCAGCTGAGCTTGAGTTTGCAATGCCTGGAGATTCAAACACTGCAGCATGCTGCCAACACACAAGCAGCACACTAGAGGTTTACCACCAAGGACTGTGGACACAAACGAATCCCACCTCACCAAACCCTGCTTTCTCAAGAGAGTTGCTTTGTTCACAAGTTAAACCATGGCAGTTAGCAAAGCCCCACTAGGTTCCAGTAGCCTTCAGTGACAGCATTTTCTTAAGATAGCCACAGGTTTTATGACTTGTACCAAAATATGCATCTAAGGATCTTAGGGTGCTCCTAGAGAGACCCTGAACTCATATTCAAGCTAGAGTGTGAGAAAAGATAAGCAGAATGGCAGGAGGCCTATGGACCAGACACAACTTCCAAATAGCAATGTCTCGAGCATGGGGTGGGGGTAGGGGGGCAGGACAGGCCTCAGTCTGTTTAGCCTACTCAGCATCAGAGTAGAGACCCTCCTGCCATTTCCCAGCGATCCCACATTGAGCCTTGAAAACCGCCATCTGGTCAGTGTCCAGCCTTCTGGATGGCAGAACCAGGAGAGGCTCCACCAGGCTGGCCTTGGACTGCAGGGTGAGGGAAAGGTGTTGGTTCAGTGGTTCAGTGACTCACCAGCCAAAGACGTCAAACAGGGCCAGCGCGTGAGACCTGGCCTGGGATACAGAGTGAGGGCACAGGCCGGGCCCTCAGCCCTAGAGCATGCTCTTGCAGAGGTTCTGTGAGCACTGACAAGGCAAGCACCTGTTCAAAAGGCTGGCCGGAACTCGCCTGTCGAAACCAAGACAAGTGCTTGTTGACCACCCACCACCAGCCAGCCCTGAGAGCATCCCACAGACCCACTGAACAAGCCACGCGGCTCTCTGCCCTCTTGAAGCACATGTCCCACTGGCAGACGCACTAGGACAACTGAGAGTGGCGGACGCAAACTAAGACGGTTTCTGATGGCAAAAGGACAAGGCCGAGGAGTGCTGACCACTTCCTGGGGATCTGACTCAAGGTGGGATGAAGCCTGAAGGGCTCACAAGAGGAGAAGACGGAACATAAGAACGTGCTGAATCAACAGCACACACAAGGAAAGCTACAGAGGAGTCACCTCCTGCTGGCCAACCCCACGGGGCATCAGTACTTCAGGGCTGGCGGCAGGCCTCTGGACGGGAGAAAGCAAGCTCAAGTGTGGAGAGCGAGGTGTGGACAGACGGACAGGTGAGGTGAGCGCGGGAAAGAGGACCATCAACGTGAAATACACTTAGATGACAGCGGGCTGCCACCATAAGACAGGAGAAGATGACAGGGGCCCCTGCATGGCCGCCCACTATCTGGCCCTCCTCTGGCCCATTCTGTGAACTTCAGCCAGACCACAGTCCTCTTTGGGTGAGTGCGAAGCCTGAAGTCCAAATACGTAACGTGGTTGACAAGGCCCAGCAGGAGCTTGATGATGGGCATTCGTCAGTTAATGCCATAGCCTGGCCACTAGTCTGGGCAGCAAACTATTGAAGATGTGCAGCAAATAACCTCTTGACTCCTGCAGTATGCCTCAACTAAGCCAGTAACTCAATTCAGCGGGTGCATGGTCTTCTCTTATTTAGCAAAAGTAAAATCCTAATAGGAAACCTTCTTTCCAGTTTGAAGCTGGGAGTGCTGTGAAGAATAAACTGATTTTAAAAGGGTCTCTGGCTTTATGTCTATTTTCTCAATCTTTCTGTAAACCTCAAACTATTCTTAAAAAAAAAAAAATTTCTATTTTAAAAAGAGAGTGGATTCCAGATGACTTGTGTGCCAAACACCACAACAACCAAACAAATCAATTCTAAATTATGTTAAATGTCTTCACCACTCCTCTCCATAATGATGTACCCTGACACTCTTGCCCTGAGGCAAGAGTGCATTGGGAACTGTCACTGGTAGGGTGACCAATATGTATCATTTGTCCAGAACTTTCCCAATTTCAGCAATGAAATTCCCAAGCTCTGGGAAACCCTTCAGTTCTGGGTCACCCAACAATCAGGAAGGTTAGGTGTCAGATAAAGCCCTAGTCCCTTTCTACCTTTAGCCTTGTTTCCTTACAACTACCACCTCCCATCTGTTCAGACCACACACCCCAAGGTCCTGCTTATGGTGCCCCTCCATCACCACATGCTGACTCCTGCCCATCCTCAGGGACTCTGCTCTAACACTGCCTCCTCCAGAAAGCTTCCAAGAAGGAATCCCACAGAACCCTGGGCCTCCTTTGATCCCAACACTTGACACACTGTACAGTCACTGGCTCCTCAGCTGTCTCCCCACCAGCCTGCAGACTCTCTCAGGGAATGAGCTGTTCTGTACCCAAGATGTTTATTACCAGAGCCAAGTGAAGTACAGCAAGAGCAAGCACAGGGGTGGGCACTAGTTGTTTATGCACCTTTTCCCAAGTCACCTTGGGATCTTCTAAGCCCCACACCAATCACATATCACCAGGTTCTTGAGGCTGTAATAGGGATTACACAGATCAGGCTGATCCAGGGCAGACAGCTCTGGTTTCCAGCGACCTAAACAATGCACCTGGACAGTTCTCAGGATACTGCAAAGGAACCTGAGACCCTCTGAGCTCCCAGGCATGGTGGCTGGTCAGCAAAGATGCTTCACTGGCGATGGGACTCAGCTGAGTCAAGTTTCCCCAAACTAACAACCAGAAGTTTTATTCAGAAAGCCAGTGTAACAAGTGCAATCTCTAGAGTCAAACACGGCTTTCACACTCTTCAGCTGTTGTCACCTTGAGGCAAGTGACTTAAGCTCCTTGAACCTTAGTTTCCACTTCTATAAAATGGAAACAGTAAATTCCTATAACTCACAGACTTGTGAGGACCGAAGGAAATATCACATGGGAAGTCCTTAGCAAGCAACTGGCACAGAATAAAAGCATTCAATAAATATTAAAGTAACTTAAAAGGGCTATAGTCAGGCAGAGTTAGGGGAGTCTTCAGTACCTGGGTGCTGGCAGGAGGCCCAACGGCCTGGATAAACACATTCCCCTTCTCAGCCACATCCACCCACTTGATAAATTCCTAAAATCCTTAAGCCACTCCCTTTCCTTGCCAGCTGCCCTCCCATTAAAGACTCCTGATTGCCTACCAACCCCCATCCTTGTCCGGAACCTCTTTCCTCTCCTCGGCTTCTCTCCCCACCACCTCTAAAATCATCCTGTCCCCCACTCTTCAGGACCCACAAACATTCATTAAATGCCTGTTCCGTACTAGAAACGTCACAGCTGAAAATCATAACTCTCTCCCTTCGCCCGGATCAAATGGAAAGCCCCCATCTAATTCCCCTCTGGCCAATCCCTGCCACAGACCCCAACTTCCCTCTAGTTCCCTGCCATCACGGGACCCCATCCTTCTTACTTCCCTCAGGTGCTCCCTCTGGACACCGCCTGTTTCTTACTGCCAGCGGCTTGCCCACTCCTCTCCCGGGCAACCCTACCGGTCCTCCCTGAAGTCACTGCCTCTGATTTGCTCACTCTTCAGTCAGTACCCACTGAGCTCCTACTGTGTGTGTGTGTGGGGGGGGGGGGGGGGGGGGGGGGGGGGGCAGTTATGCTAGGTATACAACTGTGAACAAACCAAGCAGTCTCTGCCCTCCTGCAAGTTCCAGTTTAATAAAGAGACAGAAAAGAGGTTAAAAAAACAAATGGGATAATGGCAGATAGCAGGAATGCAAGGAATGACATCAGGTCAAAGGTCTAACAGGAAGGAATTGTGGTAGGGAGAGCACTTTAGGTGGGGTGGTCTGGGAAGACCTTAGTGGGCTAAACACACAGCCACCGACAGTGGCCACCTGCTTCCTGACCATACTGGCTTCGTGGCTTTCCACGCATGACGGCACTGAATCCTTACACGATGTACACCGGGCCCATTTGCTGATGGGGGCCGGATGCTCAGAGATGTGAAATAATTCGTCCAAGGTGACACAGCCACTAAGTGGTGGGGTCAGAGGGGACGCAGGTCTGACCCGGGGCCAGCTCCGGATCTTTGCACTCCCGCTTCTCCCACAGCTCTGCGGCGGGCCGTCCCCGGACAGGACTCCGCCAGGTGATACTCTGTTCTTTTAATGACGGGCACTTGTGCGTGCCCTGGGCTTTTTGTTCCTTCTCTCGCCCAACCAGCCCTCAAAACCATGCCAGGAAGCAAGGGCTGCCTCTCGACTCCTGGACGACTGCGGAAACTGAGGCTGAGCACGGCCACCCGCTCCAGGTCCAGGCCTGTGACCCCGGAGGGGTCCTGGTCCCCGTCCCCCGCCCCGAACCGAGCCCGCGTCCGCGAACCGGAACCTCCCCGGGCACTTGACGGGTGCGACTCCAGAGGCTCGAGACTGGCCCAAGGTCACGCGGCCAGGAGCGGCGGGGTCAGGGTTCGCACCCGGCGCCCGGACCGAGTCCTCGCTCTCCCCGCAGGACCCCGGCGCCGCCCGCCGCTCTCGCCCCTGCCGGCGCCCGCCGCCCCGAGCCCCGGCCCGGAGCCGCCACGCGGCCTCGCCCCCGCCCCCCGCACACTCACTTGAGGTGGTCCAAGGAGTGGATGTTGCGGGAGGACTTGCCGTGGCCCCCGCCCACCCAGCTCCGCGAGCGGCCAAACATGTCGGCGGCCCCGGCCCGTCGCTCTCCTCACGGTCTCATGCTCGACCGGCCGAGCGGCCGAGTGCCCGCGGCGGCAGCACAAGTGGAAGAGGCAGCGGCGGAGGCGGTGGCGGCGGGACCTCCAACCACCTTCCTCCCCGGCCCACAGCCCCGCACTGACATTCAGCCGGAACCGGCCGTTCGACCGCCGCGCTTTACGGCCGCCGCCGCGAGGGACGCTGGGAATTGCAGTTCGCCCGCGAGGCCCCCGGCGACCGGACTCCGCGAACGGACTACAAGACCCGGCATACATCATGCGGCCTCCGCGAGAGGCGGAGCGAGAGGAAGAGAGGCTGCCGCACGGCCCGGGTGGGCGGAGCCCTGAGGAGGAGCCAGATGTAGGTGCGTGAAAAGTCCCTGCCTTATTAACCAGTATAACTTTATGATAAGGAGAAGATTAGCTATTGCATGGTGCATACTATGGGCCACCGTTCTAAGTGCTTTAGGTATGTTATTTAATTGTCACTATTACTATACTCACTATACTACTATTTTCCCCATTTTATCATCCAGGAACCTTGAGTCACAGAGATTGACTTGCCCTAGGGCAAGCAGTAAATGTGTTGCATAATCTGCATTCAAGCTCAGGTTTCTATAATTTCCATGCTCCGATACACCAAAGCTGCACCAAATCCTTAACGGCTTTATTTGTTCTCAGAACCTTTTTCTTTTTCTACTTCAGGTTAAGAAGTATATGTTGAAAGCTATGCAAGCAACAGTGTACCCAAACTGAACATCCTGTACTTTCAAAGGATATCTCGGGTCTTCACCCCCAATTCATGCAATCTCCCAAACTAACACATCAAAAACAAAAAGGAAACAACAACTTTCTACATAAGCCAAAATGTATCTAAATTTCTCAACTGAATTGAAAATGGGAGACTGGGTGGAAGCAAGATTTCCCTTTTCACTATCCACCTAGTCATCCATTTCTACCCTCATAGTTATTTAAGTCCTATAGCATTCCATTAACTGTGTTCTCCCCAATGCCAACAAGACTTTTGGTACACAGTAGGTGTTCAGTAAATATTAGCAGTGTATGAATTGATGGTTTGTTTTGTCTCCTGGAACTGGAGGGATGGAGAACAGTGCAGGGCCAGTAGTTCGTCTGGAATTTTATGTAGAGGGAGTGAAAGAAAGTCATGGAGTAAAAAGAGCATGCTCTGGCCTCGAAACAAACACACCCAGAGCCAGCAACTTCAGGGTCTCTCCATTTCTCTTGGCCTGGGCTTCCTCATCTGTAAAACGGGGCAACTTGTCTGAGTTCAATTAAGCAATGTATGTAAAGCACCCAGCTCGGTGTGGCTTAGATTTAAAAGTTCATTGAACTGCTTTGGAAGATGCTTTAGACAAAATCAGTCTCAGGATGGCTATAATCGGTTGCCTCTGAGCAGGGAAATGGGTGGGAGACTCACTTTTCTGTGTACTCACTAGTCGTTTGTTTAGCGAGTGCATTACTATTGTTTTTAAACACAGTTTATAAAGTAAAAGGAAACAATAAGTACTGGCTGAAGGTTTGACCTCCTTGGGACTCTTTCACCCAGGTGTTCCTAAAATCCTAAAATGAAGATCCCGGCCTGGCCATGGGCAGATCTCCCTGCAGCAGAATTTGGAGAGGTGAGGGTGCACTGATTGAAAACAAACAAACAAACAACAACAACAAAAACTAACAAATACACACACACCAAAAAAAAAAACAAAAAAACAACAACAACCTTGCATTGTGGGAATGTTCGAGATCTGTGGAAGTGATCCCCCCACCCCACCGTCGCCTCCTTTTAAACTGCGGAAACTGAGTCCCAAGGGGGCGAGGCACCACACCCAAGTCCAGCAAGGTGCAGAGAGAATCCGCGACTTATTCCAGCCTTTACAGTCTGGCGACACGTCCACGTTTGAACTGTGTTCAGCCCCGTCCCTGTGTTACTCCCCGGACCCGCAGAGCGAAGCTCCTTTGAAAGTGGAGCACAGTCCGGACGCAGGAGAGCCGCTCCGAGGCGAGCGCCCGGAGGGGCGGGGCGGAGAGGTGCCCGCCCCCTGGCGGCTCGGGCCAATGAGCGCGGCCGCTGAGCGGGCCAATGAGCGCGGTCAAGCGGCCGCGCGCCAATGAGCGCCGGGCCGCTCGGGGGGTGGTGCTCGGAGCGCGACCGGGGAGCGACGCGGCGGCCGCAGCCATGGGCGCTGGGCCTGCGGGGGCGCCGAGGGGGCTCGAGGAGCGGCTGCGGCGCGCGCGAGAGTCGGCAGCCGGGACAGGCCCTCGACGCTGAGCCGCGGTGGGGGTCGCGCTGGCGCTTCGGGGGCCTGTGAGCACGAACGCCGCGCACCGACGGAACCGGGCGGTCGCCGGCCACTTCGGGGGGCCCTGCCTCGCCGCCCGGCGGGTCCAGAGAGCCGGGTGGTCACTTCTGGAGGGTGCGGTGGCCCCGTCCGGCACGATTCCGGGATCCAGGCGCGTCCGCTCCGGCCGCCGCACGTTCCCGGAGGCCACCTGGGGTCCAGCGCCGCCTCGGTCGAGCCCGGGGCGCCCCTGGATGGCTGAGCTGCCCCCTCGCCGGCCGCCCGGGCGCCGCAGCGGCTGAGGTCGCGGGGATCGCCCGGCCGCCGCCGCCCTCGCCGCCCCCTGCATGCCCGGCGCGCGGGTCGCAGCCCACCTGGACTCTCTGGGGCCCCTGGTGTCCTACGTGCAGCCGCCGCTGCTGCCCTCTATGTTCTACGTGGGCCTGTTCTTCGTGAACGTGCTGATCCTGTACTACGCCTTCCTCATGGAGTACATCGTCCTCAACGTGGGCCTCGTCTTCCTGCCCGAGGACTTGGACCAAGCGCTCGTGGACCTCGGCGTGCTCTCTGACCCCGGCTCCGGCCTCTACGATACCGACTCGGAGCTCGACGTCTTCGATGGATACTTGGAGTAGGGTGGACTACTCCTCCCCTCTCCCCTCCATGATCCGCAACCCTCGGCCGGGACCAGCCGCCCAGATCATGCCCTCGCTCCTGGTTGGGTGCGCTGTCTGGACCCGGATGGGACCCCAGGAAGAGCCCCTCCGAGGCTTGTAAGTGCCCTCGGGGTGAGGGTGGGTTGGGACAGGGAGGAGGCATTCCCAGGCTTCTGACTCCTCTGTCCACTTCCTTCAGATCTAGCTGGATGTTAGGAATGGCTGGACGTCTCTTGGGCCCTCAATTGGGGCCAGAAAGCTTCCCCCGGGGAAAAGGAGAGCTGCTGAAGAGGGAGGGGACCCAGAACCTAAGTTACATTTTGGGTAGCTATGGAAGTTACCCCCAGAGCCTGTGGAAAGAGCCTTTGGACCCCAGTCCATCTGAAGCAGAGCTATCGCTCCTCCCCCCAGCCTCTGCCTGTCTTGATGATGACCTTGGCATTTGGGGGATTCTCACTAGTCCTGGGAGGATAGACTAGGGGTAGAGACCAAGGCACTGACCACCTTCCCACTGTGGCCCCTTGAGGGACTGGGTGGGGATTAAGTGCAGGGTCCCCCAGGCCAAGGCTGTGAGAAGAAACCTTCAGCAAAGGACTCTGTACTTCCTTTTGGCCTTGGGTTTGCTGCTGTTTTGGAGTCAGGTTTCAGGGTGTCCCAGCTTGTCAGCTCTGCAGCTGAAATCTGCAGGGGCTGCCAGTTTTGCAGGCTGCCTTCACAGAGCAGGCAGGCTGGGGGTTGGTGCTGGAGCTGGCTTTGTCTGCAGTGTTCGCAGGTCCTCAAGGGACTCTTAAGGAACCACAGGATTGTTGCACTGAGGTGTTAAAAGTCCTGCCTCTGGGCTTAGCCAGGGAACTTTGAGCCCAGCCCATGTTGCATGTTAGAGGTAGAGAAATGAAGGTACAGGGAGGACTAAGACTGACCAAAATCACCCAACAAGGCAGCTGGAGTAGGGGGAGGGAAGGAGAGAAAGAGAGAACACACGTGTACTAGGAAGGCTGTCAGGGTCCGTGGGGAGGGGCTGCCTCATGGGGCAGACAGGAACTCGTTGACTGAGTCCTGGGGCTGAATGATGCTGGAGTTCTCCTGGGCACGGGTTCGAGTGGCAGTGAGCGGGGGTGCTGAGATGTTGGGCAGGGGCTTCTTTTAGAAAGCAGACACTGGTGCCACTCACCCCAAGCAGGCAGTCTTCTCCTCTCTGGGGCTGCCTGTCTTTGCCAACACGACCATAGTCAGGGTTTCTTATCACTTCCAGATGCCCAGCAGACTACCATGGGCTGGGTAACTTAACATATTTATTCCTCACAGTTCTTGTTAACGGCACTAAACCTGCTCCCAGGACTTCCCTCATGACTAACCCACCTCCCAAAGGCCCCATGTCCTAGTACCATCATATTGAGAACAGGGTCTCAACATAGGCACGTGGGAGAAAGCAAACATTGTTGTAGAGGGTGGGGCAGGACCTGCTGCAGCTGTACCGGGAGCAGTGGGCTTATCTACGGGGTCCAGAGTGAGGTTTCTTTGAGGAAAACTTTAGTTGAGCTAATTGAGATCCTAGCAAGAGCCAAGTGCCAGATGGGGTGTGTGCCAGCTGCTCTGCATTTCCCCAGCCTGCCTGCCTGCCTTCCATCTGTTTTTTTATTGAACAAATGCTTACTTGTTCAGTACTGTGCCTGGGGAGTGAATGCAGTGAGCAAGACAGACTCAGCCCTGGCACGCCTGGCATTTGGTGAGGAAGACTAGCAAATATCCAGACAAGATAATGATATTTTTTTACAGAGCTCTGAGGACATGCAAGAAGGCTGTGAGCTTCCCTGTCGTGTTCACTGCTGTGTCTTTAGCACTTGCACCAGAGCCTGGCATCTGGTAGATCCTCTGTGTAGACTGGTGAGGCCTAAGACTAGGGCCAGGCTGCTTTAGCTAGGGAGTCAGAGAAGTCCTCTCTGAAGAGATGATACATTTAAGCCGAGCCAGAAATCAATAGAAGGAGCCGGACACAAAGATCCAGAAAGAGCAATCTAGACAGAGGGAACTGCAAAAACTAGGACACTGAGATGGGAAGAGTTGGGAAAGAGTTGGTTTATCCAGCAACTGAAAGACCAGCACAGCTGGAGAGCAGCCTCAGAGAGGTCAGGGATGAGTAGCAGGGACCACACCACATCCTCCGAGACCTGGGACACCACAGCCAAGAGCAGTGGACAGCCATTGGAAGGTTTTAGGCAGGGTAGTTTGTAAAGATGACTGTGGCAGCTGTGGGGAGAGTGGGCTGAAGGGTAGTGCCAGCAGGAAGCCAGCTGGGGGGCTGTCAGTTGTCTAGCTAGAGGTAGCAGGCTTAGATGAGGCAGGTCAGTGACTTCAGGGAAGTAGGGACTGAGAACACAATCAGGTGAGCCTCCGGGGTCCAGTGTTCCAAATCTACTGAATATGGACCGAAAACCGTATACTCCTGGTTTTAAGCTCTTTACATGTTCATTCATTTGGCCACTCAACAAACATTGACTCTGTTGTTCTTCTGCCAGGCTGTGTGCTAGACCCCCATGGTCCCAAAATGAATCCCTATCCCCAAGTCAAGAACTTGACTTTCATATAGTGTAATTTGGTGAGGAACATCTTATTTTATCTTCTCACCACATCAATAGAAACACTTCCGTTTCCAAATGAAAACATTGGCATATTCTGGACTGAAAACTGAAGGCCAAATGCTTTGACATATTTTGCAGCAAATGCTGTTTGAGCAGAAACAGCAGGAAGCGTCTCTCAGGGACACCCTTGCAAAGCTCTTGGAGTAACAGGGCCTGACCCTGGGAGGTGGAGGAGTGGGGGGAGAGGCTGGGAAACACCTTGGCCTGTGTTGGAAGCCACACTCAGGACTCCCCTCTTCCCATCCCCAAACCCAAACTGACCTGGACCTCAGCATGGGAAGCCCAGACCCAGGAGGGGCAGCCAGCCACGGGAAGGCCCTGTGGGAAAGCTGTGGAGGTCAAATGACTGAACTTATCTCTGGGCCCCTTTGCATAAGCAGAGGAACAGCAGGGGTCAGCTCTTCTTCTGTCTCACTCGTTCCCGTGTGGACACATGTTCCGCACCAGCCCAGCCAGGCAACGCCAAGGGCATGGGCCTGCCAGGCAGAGGGGCCTGGGTGGATCTCAAGGTGGAAAGGGGTACCTACATTTGCTCCCTCCAAGTGTCTCTCTTTCTCTTACCTGTGTAACCACATAATTCAGGCTCTCATCAATGTGCTGAGCACCTATTTGGGGAGGCAGCATTAGGGCCAAGGTTAAGAGCCAGCACCCTGGGATCAGAGAGCCTGGGTTCAAATCCCAGGCCTCGCTGTGACATTGGGCATGCTATTTATCCCTGCCATGTTCCCATTTCCTCTTCTATAAAACAGGCATAATGAAAAGCTGCCTTATTGTGGGGATAAGTGCTTAGACCGCCTGTATGTAGTAAACAGTACATTAACTGCTGCTATTGTTAATGGGAAGCTGTAATTAGAAGTAGGTACCTATGGGCCCTTGTAGATGCATTTAAAGGGGTTTTAAACCTTACTTATGTGCATGACTGGATATTTACATCCCGTGATGAGCAGAAGAGGACCGGCTGCCTGAGCCCAGGGAAGGTCCAGGAGTGGTCTACCCACACAGACCTCCACCACTGCCTTCCCACCCGGGCCCCTTGGCGCTCTGGAGACTGGCTTTGCAGTTTCCCTAGAGGTTGATCACTGCCCAGCAGCATAAGCAGGTTATCAGAAGCTCGCTCTTTCCCAGGAGAAAGAGTGCTGCGGCTGGCCTTGGGGACCAGAAGATTCCTCATGTCCCAGCAGCTCAGGTACAGAGGCGACTCAGCTCTATCGATTTGTCCTGGTTCCTAATGAAGGTAGTGGGTGCCTGCCAGTTCTCCTTGGGCACACGGGAGTGCTGCAAGAGGGGACTCGGGAAAGCTGCCGCCAGAGTCTGCGTGGCGTGCTGCGGCTGGGATTTGGAGCGGAGGGTAACCACCCTTGAGTCTGTAGTTTCTCAGGGCTTCCCAGGTTCCCGTGTCTCTGGGGAGAGGGGGGGGACACACAACTGCCCCTTCCTGATCCACCAGCCCTCAGCCCTTGTGTGACCTGTGCTGTCAGCAGAATACCCTGGCTGGCCATGTCACTACCCAACTCAGAAGTTCACCCCTTCCATGGGGACCAGGCACTATCAGATTCAAGTCAAGGAGAATCCCACAGACAGATCCGAGAAACCAGGCCAGAGACTTCAGCTGTCACCCGGCAGGAAGACAGACATGGCGGCAGGGAGGGAGGCACAGTCCCGGCAAGGCCAACTCCAGCCCTGTTCTGACAGGAGGCTCACCCAGAAGAGCTGTGGCCACCCCTTTGGACAGGAGGAGACTGTATCTCAGAACAACCGAGATGCCAGGGGCCTGGCTCCTCACGAGCGGAGAGTTCAGCCAGGCCTGCTCCACCCTCAGCCCCGAGTCTGTTTTGCTAAACCAGGAAAAGGAAAGCTCTTGTCACCCATTTTTATTTCTGATTTTTCTGCCATTGTTCTTGGAACTTCTGAACGCATAGTCTGCATTTGGGAAGCCGTGACCACAAGGAAGGGACAGACCTCTTCATCCCTGTCTTGCAAGTCAAGGAGCTGAGGCCTAGAGGGGGAAGCGAGCCACCCTGCTGGCCCCACACTGACACTGCCACTGCCACTCGGGGACCAGGAGGGCAAACACAAACTCGGATTCCGCCAGGTCTCTCACTCTGTGTGTACTCTTGATCCCTTTTTTCTGATTTTTTCTTTAAAAACTTTATTTCAAAATAATTTCACACTTATAGCAAAGTTGCAAGAAGAACATAAAGACTCCCCACGCTCTTCACCCAGAAGCTCCGGTTAACATTTGGCTGGTGCATACCACGCACGCCTGCCCTCCCGTGCTGGTGTGTGTGTATCCGTCTAGTTATTTCTCTGAACCCTTTGGGAGTGCGTTTTGAATATCATGCTCCTTTATCCCAAAATATTTCAGGGATACTGAGGGTTGAACCCAGGGCGCTCTCTCACTAGGCTCCATCCCTGGCCTCCGCTCAGCAGCGGTACTTAAATTTTACCATTTGTCCCAATAGGGCCCTTAAACAATGAAAGGTGGAGCTGGAGTCCAGGACCTCAGTGATCCCAGGTGACCTTGGCTCCACTCTCGGCCCTCTGCAGTCTGGAACAGCTCGGTCTCCTGTCTTTCATTCGCCATCTGGCACGCTGGCTGCCTCCCTCCCTGTGGGTTTGTCTGATGTTTGCCGGGACCTAGGTGCCTTCTTGGCGGAGTACAGAAGTGGGCATGTCTCCCTCTGCCTCCTTTGGTGGCACTGGCTGGCTGTCCTCTGGCTGGTCATGTTCATTTTGATCACTTGGCTAAGGGTGGTGTTTGCCAAGTCTCCCAACTGTCAATTCACTGTTTCTCCCTTTATAATTTATGATTTAAGATGAATTACACTAGTTTTAGTGCTATGTTTGTAAAAAAAAGTCTACTTCTGTCTTTGTTTTATTTTTTGGTAGCGCAGGGGGTGGAGCTCAGTGTCCAAATACTGTACCATGGATCCACACCCCCTGCCTATGTGGCTTCATTTCTGAAAAATGTCTATTTCACCGTAAAGAGAAAACCATCATGACTTGGTGTCGGTAAAAAATAGGTGCCAAAGTCATTAACTTCCGGCCAAATACCCTGGCAGCCGTAGGCCTCGGGTCCGTGGCCTGTTCTCTTTGTTGAACTGAAGGTGAGCAGCTATGAGGCAGCAGAGATGCCAGCATGCGGCTGGCACTGTCTCGAAGGGATGATGAGGCTCAGCCACGGTGCAGAGAGAGTGCTTGCTCACTGTGTGTGCCTGGTACTTAAGGCCACCCCCCTAAAATTGTTGCTTAGGGCCTTTGCTGTTGGGCACACCTCCCCAAGCCGAGTGATCTCTGAAGTGGGAATGATAGTTGGACATGCCTAAGGGCTTGTGCCAGTTCAGTGGGCAGGTGACCTGTGTTTAATTGGCACTCGATAAAGGATGCATTCAGCATTGATGCGTCAGCCCAGAGGGGGCTCCAGCCCGGGAAGCCTTCCCCTTTCCTTGGGCACCCTTGCTTGTGGCCAGCATGGAGGAGGTGTGTTCAGGCTGCCTGCAAAGCAGTACCCTGAGTGCCAAGTGCCCAAGTTCTTCACAGCTGTCCAGGCCCCAAGCATGGCCTTGCAGGGCTGGGAACTCCCTGTTGGGGAGGGCTTCATTCCTGGGATTCCTTCCTGGCAGAGGGCTTGGCTGGGTGGTTAAAAATAACCGCCCCTCCCACCCCTCCGTAGCTTCACCTGAGTCACCCCGAAGCTGCCCGGGCAGGGCCCATTAGCTCCATTACACAGGAAGGGAAACTGAGGCTTGGGGAGGTTCAGGCCTCGCCCCAGATGCCCAGCTATGAGGTGGCCGCGTCGGGCCTCCCAGATATCCAGCGCCAAGAGGTGACAGAGCAGAGCCTGCGGTGCCCCAACCCTCCTGGGAACTGGTGCTTTCCCCTTTTGACCAGCTCCACACCCAATGGGGCAGCCAAGGACCTGGAGCCAGAATGAGTGGTTTAATCCTTACTGTATTTTTAGCATTGCCTTCTGTTTACGACAGGTGATAGTGTTTTTTATCATAGTGACATAAAGGGGTTTTAAACTTGAGTTTAAAAACCCCTTGGTTTTAAAGGGTTAAAAGTTAGTTTAAAAAAGATGTGCATTGCTGGGCACAGTGGTGCACTCCTGTAATCAATCCCAGCAACTCAAGAGGCTGAAGATATCAAGTTCAAAGACGGCCTCAGCAACTTTAAGGGCTGGGATGTAGCTCATTGATCAAGTATAAAGCACCCCTGGGTTCAATCCCCAGAATCCCCCCAGAAACTACATTGATTTAAAATTCAGGTTGAGCATCCCTGATCTGAAAATCTGAAATCCAAAACTTTTTGAGCTGCTGCATGTTGCTACAAGTACATTATTCCTCCCCTGACCTGTGTGCAGTCAAAATGCAGGTGCACTAAAAATAGCCTGTAAGATTACCTTCAGACTATGTGACAGGCATATGTGAAACATGAAGGAATTACTTTGATTCCATCCCCAAGATAACTCATTTTGTTCATGAAAATATACCGGGATCTGAAATATGAAACACTCTAGTCCAGGCACTTGGGAGAGGGACACTCAACCTGTGCTGTAATGTCCAGGTGCTTCTTGGATTGACAGGACTCAGGAAGGCTCCCAAGTCTTGGGCAGGCACCGCCTGGAGGCACTTTGTAGACCTGGGCCGATGAACTTGACAGCAAGCGTGGACATCAGAACCCAAGCTTGAGAAATGGCCCTGATTTATCCATGACACTGGCTTCCCCCAGGGACATGGACCCTTGCAGAGACAGACAGTCCTCCTTTTCCGGGCCCTTGCAGCTGCCAGGGAGGTGGCCGGGTCCCAACCATGTCCTTGGCAGTGACATGAGGTGAAGGCCCTCTTGCTGCACTACCTACTCCCAGGATGGAGGCCCCAGATGGCTGCACAGCAGCAGAGACATGGTAACCTTACACGCATGAGCAGAGACATGGCAGGTCATGTCTGGGTGATGCCTTCAGCCACTAGGTTTGGTCATCCAGTACGTGTGCAGTGGTAGTCCTAGAAGTCAAGGTCTCCTAGCACTGAGCGGGCTCCCTGCCACTGCTGGGGATGAACCCAGGAAGGGGCTGGTGCCTTGTGTGTGCTTGATGACATGGGCATTGACCCCGTTTCTAGATGAGGGAATGGACCAGAGAGATTGGGTGACTTGCCTACGGTCACACAGGAAGAGAGAGCCAGAAGTGGCCCAGACAAGCCTATTCCAGAGGAGCAGCTGGTGGGCAAGAGAACTGCCCAGAAGAACCCCCACCAACATGTTCAGAGCATCGCCCCCCAGCACCCATAAGACACAAGAATCATTTCCTAACATAGGCCAGGACCTCATGTAGGAGTCCTTCAGACAGATCCAGTTCCCAGTGTCATCCTGACAGAGAAGAGCTGCGAGCCGCTCCCTCGGTCCAGCCCTGGGAAACGGCCTGCAATGATGTAATGGAAGGTTGCCGTTTCAGAAACAAACCAAAAGCCAGCGCCCGTGACTCGTCCGTCTGCTCTAACAGGCATTTTCTCTCTGCATTCTATCAAGAGGGTAGCCTTTATCTCATAATCTCTGTCCTTCCCCTCTATTCGCTTTCCTCTGGTTTAGATCATCCAGCCTTGCCATCTCCCAGATCGTAGTGTCCAGGAGATCCCCTCTGGTGGCCAGTCACTCAGTACTCCAGTAGGATCAGAGAATCGGGGGGCCTTGACCCAGCAGACTAGTTCTGGAGTTAAAGGGAAGAATGGAGGAACTGGGGATGGGACGAGGGAGCAAGAGGAGGGCGGGGGATACGAGAGAGAGGGTGGAAAGAGACGTGTGATTGCACGACCGGTGTGGCCACAGACACGAGAGGTCTGCTCCACTGTGCACAGTGAGCTGAAGTGCAGTCGCCAGGGGTGGAGAACTGCCTGGGCCCCACAGCTGCAGCTCCAGGCTGCTCTTCAGCTGCCACCGGCCGGACCTCAAGTGCTGACAGGAGGAGTTTGGGATCAGACCGGAAGTTTCTAAGTTTCTTTCTTTTTTTTTTTTTTTTTTGATACTGGGGACTGAACCCAGGGGTGCTCTATCACTGAATTGCACCCTTCCCTTTTTATTTGTTTAATCTTTTTTGGTACCACATTGAGCCCAGGGGTGCTTATCCACTGAGACACACCCAGCCCTTTTTTAATAATTGTTTAGAGGCAGGGTCTTGCTGGGTTACTTAGGGCCTCACTAAGTTGCTGAGGCAGGTTGAACTCTCATGATCCTCCTGCCTCAGCCTCCCCAGCCACTGAGATTGTAGGCAGGTGTCACTGTGCCCAGCTTCAGCCTTTTTATTGAGATAGGGTCTCTCTAAATTGCTGAGGCTGGCCTTGAACTTGCAATCCTCCTGTGTCAACCTCCTGAGTTGCTGGAGTTACAGGCGCATTCCACCATGTCCAACACATGGGAGTTTCAAACCCCAGCACTGTCCCTTGCAAGCCATGTGGTGTTGCACACCTTTCTTCACCTCTGAGCCCCATCCAAAATGCAGGTGACGGGCCCATGTGGCCTCACCTCCGAGGGTGTCTTGAGGAGGAAGTGAGCTAAGAGGATCAGAGCAGCTGCCCTCGGCCAGGGAAAGGCCGAGAGTGCCAGCCTCCACGGTGGTTGTCACTGGGGGTTGCCAAGGCTGCACTTGCAAGCCAGAGTAACTAGGGGGTTGATCTACCACAGCCAAAGCAGGTGACAGGAAAGTCAGACTGTTCCCGGGACATCTCCAGCCACATGCACTGAAACCTAGGACCACGGATCACGTCACTCCTCAACTCTGTGTGAGGGCACATCGCTGCCCTCATCAGGCCCCTTTATTCTCAGCTGTGGAGGGGAACCAACTGGGGTCAGGGTCTCCCAGGCCTCCCGTGACACTGTCATGTCCTCTGCGCTGCTGCCTGCACTATTATTACCTGGTGGTTCTAAGTCAGCTCTTTGTAGAGTGAAATAAGTATTTTGAAAACAGAAGAACTTTATGACACTACAAGACATGGAGACCTGGCCTCGTTATAACAGGCGACCGGCCGGTGGATACAGTGAGAAGGAAGGGCATCGGGAGTCCCAGCCGCAGGCTGGGCAGGGCCTGCACACGCTGGAGGTGAGCTCCTGTGACGTGTGCCGGGAGCCCCTGCCTGACTAGCAGCTGTCGGGGGCTCTGCCAGGATGCTATTCGCAGTCACAAGGCAAGGGGTGAGGCCTCACCGTGGTTCTGTGTGTCCAGCACCTGGTCCACACGCCTGAGATGGACTCTGGGACCACCTGGGCCTCAGGACTGACCACAGTGGGCCTCCAGGAGGCTGAGTCCAAGTCATAACTGCGGCAGGTACTGGTCCCGTGGGTTGCACACCACCGCTGCTCCACCCCGCCCCTGCCAGGAGACCCACAGGTTCCCCGGAGGAGAGGTCGAGCAGGTGGCCTCTGGCAAGGCGGAGAGGAACCCCTGACACCTTTCTAGAGACGGAGCTCCTGACACCGGATGGGGCCCGAGGGTGAAGGGCCTGCCCGGGTCAGCCGGAGCCAGGGAAGGCTGCTGAGCAGCGGCAGCCCGTGTTCTCAGCAGAGGATTCGTGAATCTTGGCCAATTTGGCCCCTGCCTCCTCCTCATCCCCACCTGCCCTGTTCCCACCCACAGGTGGCTCCTGACCTGCGGTGCCTCAGCTCCCCAGCCCCGCCTCCCCCTGGGTGCCCTTCATGTGCAGCTTATCCCCGAGCTGGCCTCATGTGTCCCTCGGCTCCTTCCTGTGGTCTCGCCTGCTGCCTGGGCTGCTGTCAGGCACTGCATAGAGTTTGCCTGTCACAGAGCAGGGCCACCTGTGCTCATCACAGTGCTCGCCTCCAGCTTCCGACCCGGGCCTGGCCCGCAGGGTGTCTGCCATTATGGAGTGCTTAAAGTCTCAAGTGGGGGTTTGGGGTGTGGCTCAGAGGTGGGGCATTTGCCAGCACCACCCAAAATTAAAAATACCGGTTCAAGTGGGACAAGGTCAGGGAGTCAGAACCAGGCTCCAACACTTCTGAGCCGTCTTTCAGCAAGTGTCTTACCCTTGCTGAACCTTAGTTTCTCCACCTACCAAATGGCATAGTCCCTCACCCAGGAGGTGGACAGCGGCTGGAATGGAACGGCCGGGTAACGCGCCATCTTGGCAAGCTCTCCCAGGCGCAGACTGAGACGACAGGGATTCAGGTGCAGGTTATTTATCTGGGAGATGATCCCAGGTGGGAAGTGAGCCAGGAAAGGGAAGGAGACCAGGAAGCAATGTCATTGAGTAGGTCACCCTGTGTCCTAGCTTGGTCTTACTCCAGAACTCAGGAACCAGAGTGAATGCAGAATGCGCCTCAGAGTTGGCCAGCCTCTGGTGAGGGAGCCGGGGTGTTGATCCTGCGCCTTGCAGGTCCTCCCCAGGGGAGGGCAGCTGTGGGAGACACTAGCTGTGGCAGCCTAGGGCCCAGCAGCTCAGACGGCGGGCGCTGGGCTGGCAGCCACCAGGCCAGGGTGCTGGGAGGGTGAGTGCCAGGAAGGATGTGGGGCGCCACAGGCCCGCCCGGGAAGAGCTCACGAAATGCTCGCTTGCTCCCCAGGGTCGCCACTGTGCAGTGCCAGCCCCGCCTCTTGCGCTGTCCAACTCTCGGCAGGTCGCTGTGCTTCCGTGGGCCTCAGGGGTTCAGCCTATAAAATGATGCTTAGTTCTCAGTGGAAGCGGTTCTGTCCCTCTAGGTGACCCTTGGAAATGGGGTAGGGACATTTTTAGCCATCACAATAACTGGAAGTGCTGTTGGCATTTAGTGGTCACAGACAAGAGATGCTAGCAAGCCAGCCATGCCCAGAAACGGTCCCCTCACATGCAAGACTTGTCCTGGCCCTGGGCACAGTGCAACACACCTGGCTGAGGCAGGAGGAGGACGAGTGTGGGGCCTGCCTCAGCAACTTGGCGAAACCCTGTTACAAAATAAAAAGGACTGGGATCATAGCTCAGTGAGAAAGCACCCTGGGTTCCATCCCCAGGACCCTAAAAAAATGCCCTGGCCCCATGCCAGTAGTGCCCTGCTGAAGGACACACGTTGCAGGTGCAACCTAAGAGTCGGATTGATTCTTGAGGATGTCTGCAGGAAGGGGCCGAGAACCAGGGCAGGGCTTGTGACAGCTCAAGGGGTGGGGGGGCCTGGGAACCCCAGGTGCTGCAGAGACGCTGGCACCCAGCTGGCACAGAGGGGGGAAGGAGAGAGAGGGCCTGCCACGTCCTGGGAGGAAGAGCCAACCTGGGCCTCCACCGAGTGCCCTGGCTGTGGCAAAGAGCCTTCCTGGAGGGCGCGCCCCACTTTCCTGCAAGGTGGGAGGACTGCCAAGCCCCGCCTGCCCCAGCCCTGCTCCTGCCCGCGGCAGCGACCAACCCCGCAGCACTGCTCCCCCTCCCTCGCCTGCGTTCTCAGGGATTATGTGAACTCATCAAGAGTTTGTAATAAAGATTACTGTAAAATGACCCCAGCCCGAGTCACGGGTTTCTGGTGATTCCCCGAATGGAAGGGGGGAGGTGGCGTCCCTGCCCTGCCCAGCCCAGCCCTGGAGGCCTGGCAGGTTGGCCAGTGGCAGGGCAGCGCCTCCTCGCTGGCAAAGCCCCTTCTCCTCCTCAGGTCTGATCCCCTCGAAGGCTTCGTGCCAGCCAAGAGCTGCGTGACCCGCCCCAAGCGAGCAGAAGGAGACCGAGGAGGGCCAAGCCCGGGGGGCTCCCCGAAGACCTGAGCCGCAGCAGAGGACCTGGCCTTGGGATGGATGTTTACGGGACGCAGCCAGAGTCTGCCGCCCCGCGCCCGTGGCACCCGCTTCCCCGCTGCACCCCGGAGAGGGCACCTCCGGGCTCCTTCGATGCCAGTGGAGCCTTCAGCCGGCTGGGTTTAGCCCGAGGCTGGTCTTGGATGCAGACCGTTTAGGGAGTGGCCCAGAAGCAGCAGCCCAGGAACCTGGGACGAGGGCAGGTTTGACGACTGGTTTCAAGTGGCTTGTTTTCTTGAGTTGGCAGAACCGAGGCCTTGTGCTGCAGCAGGGCCACGTTGCCACTCTGGCCAGAAATATATTTTTGAAAATGTGGGTGGTGTGAATACTTGATTTCGATATACCTGTAAAAGCAATACTTAGGAGGCGCACTTATTTCCATTAAAAATGTATGCAATTCATTTCCTTGGGGGCCTGTCTGGGTTTTGTTCTTGGAGATTTGGGAAAGGGGTCCTCATGCAGAACCGGGGGTTCACAAAGGGCAGGAGGGTCGGGTGCTGGCTGGGAGCTCCAGCCGTGAGCATGGTGTTCCATGTGAACAGCAGAGTTGGGTCAGCTTGCAGCTTCCTGGAAGAGCGGCAGTGATTCTCTCCCGTTTGCAGGGCACGTGGTGACTTTGGAAGGACTTTCACACGTGCCAGGTTAGGCAAGGCACAGTAGTGAACCCCACTCTGCAGGTGAGGAGGCTGCGGGAGGGAGAGCAAGCCGAGAGGACGCAGCTGCAGCCCCCTGGTCCTCGTGCAATTCAGGGAAGGAGGTGCCGAGGTGTCAGAAGAAGACGGCTGAGGCCAGGAGGCGGTGAGCACCCGAGGGAGACAGGCCTGGGAGAGGGAGGGCCGAGAAGGTCCGAGGCACATGCAGCCACGCTGTCACACCAAAGCACCACCTCCCACTGCTAATGGGGCTCAGGAGTTATCTCCAGCACACTGCACCTGTACCCCCAGAGAGATCCCCAGAGAAGTTGAGGGGCGAGTTGACATCTCAACTCCTTCCTTCAGAGGATTGTGATGATGGCAGCGTCACTCCACATCTGACACAGGGAGTCACATACCTCCCCACACACACACTTGGTTAGTACCCAGGGGCACCGATATCATGGAGCTACATCCCCAGCCCTTATTATTTATTTAATATCTACTTAGGTACCCAGGATTGAACCCACTGAGCCACACCTCCAGCCCATTTTATTTTATTTCATTTTATTTTGAGACAGGGGCTCGCTAAGTTGCTTAGGGCCTCACTAAGTTACTGAGGCTGGCTTTGAACTTGCAGTCTTCCCGCCTCAGCCTCCTGAGCCACTGGGATTACAGGTGTGCGCCACCACACCTGGCTAACATATTTACCTCTCATGATGACTTCACATCAACCATAAAACATCCTCCCTGGGCTGCTGCAGCCCCACACCAGGACGCCGGGGTTGGTAAGCGGAGCCCTGATGAGTGTGCAGTCCCCATTACCACTAGTCCAGCGATTTTGTGCATTGCACAGACCACCCAATCACACCTGCAGCCCTGTCCTGAGAGATGCAAAATTTGGCTCAAGTGTGAGACTCACCAGGGCGTGAAGCTTGAGCCCTCACTCACCCCTGCCCGCTCAGTGTACAGTGTAGAGTGAGTCAAGCAAAGTTGTGCTGGGAAGGAGTCTCCATTTCACAGGCACCCTGCTGGGTGCAGAGTTACAGTAGCGGACAAAGCGAGGGTCCCTCCCTTCTGGAGTCACCCCTAGGACCAGAGCCGACAACAGAAATCAGTGCAGAAAAGGTAAAATAGTGATGGGATTGGAGGGGTCATGGGGCCTTCCCGGTGGCTTTGAGTCCTCAAGGACGAGGCGGGAATGAGACGCAGCTGCCCCAGGGAGCTGTGCGCTGGGCTCTTTCTTAATGTCTTCACCACTGGATTGTCCCATGACCCTGTGGAGAGGTACTGTGATTCTGCCCATCTCACAAACCAGGAGACCGAGGCACAGAGAAGTCCCTTGCATAAGAGGTGAGCCGGGCATCAAGGCCAGGCTCTGAGGTGCGTGCTTCTGAGGGCTGTGCCTCCGTCCCTTAGGTAGGAAGGGCTTAGCCTGGCACTTGGCACATAGTAATCAGAGTCCACCGAGGTTTACCCAGGGCTTGCCGTGTCCCTCGGCCCCTGCTGGCCCCACCCCCACTGGCTGGGAAGAGGAGCAGCATTTGGGAACCAGGCTGACCCTGTGGGCCTGGGGCTGGCCTGCTGCAGCTGAGCATCAGCTTCCACTGTCACCAGGAGAAAGCAGATTGTCCCCGCGGAGCAGGCCACACCAGAGTGAGGAGCAGCAGGCCCACTGGCGGCTCTCCAAGTAGAGAGCGAGCTGGGGGCCCTTCTGGGCTTGCTGCAGCCAAGGTGGGGACCCAGCTTGGCTGGGACACAGCTCCCAGGGAGAGCGCAGGCGCGGGCGGGGCGGGGCGGGGGCAGAGGAGCTCCCTTCTGTGGAGCAGACGGACGGTGCCGCAACCTTGCCCAACCCAGGAAAATGAGTTTCCCTGAATCTCAGGAACCCATGAAGACGGGCCCTTCAGACAAGGCAGGACGCCGGCGGGGTGGACGCTGGCGGGTGCTGTGGTGGGCAGGAGAGCAGTGTCCCGCTGCCGGTGGCCGACATGAGGAGGCAGAGCAGTGCTCTGAACACCGCTGTCCTGGGACACTCTCTGCTCCCCTTCCCTGTCCTCTGTCGCTGCCTCTTCTCTCTCTCTGGGCTACCACCCTTCCGTCCAGCCACCAGCTATGAGGAAGCCCAGACTAGCCCCATGGAGAGGTGAAGGGACCCTCAGGTCACCCCAGCCCAGTCTTCAAGCTGCCCCAGCTGACAGGTGAGCTGTCCCTGCCGAGTCCTTCCTGAACAACGGTGTGAGTGCTAACTGAAGCCGCCGTGGCTGGGGGTGACCAGACGGTAGATACCCCAAATGGAAATCGTGGTGTAAGCCCAAACCCTGGGCCAGCCGACGACCCACGTGGGACTTTATCACGTAGTGGAAAGGGCGACACAGGGCGAGGGCAGGGGCAGGGGCTCCAGGCGGCTCCCTCCCCCTTAGTGTATCGTTTGCTGGGTCCCGGCTGAGGTCCAGTGTTCTGGCCGGGCCTAGCTTTGGCCTTGGCCAAAAGTCAGTGCAGCAGCGAGCACCACAGACGGGAGCAGCTGCCGCAGGGCCTGCTCAGGCTGGGGGACTGGCAGGCTGGTGTCTTCACAGTGGCGAGTCGGCCCATCGGTGCCCTGTTGGAGAGCAGCAGGGACACTAGGCGGGCCCCAGGGAGGCTGCCTCAGGCCTGGGCTCTGGCCTGGCCCTGACTGCCCAGTGGTGCACAGGGTACGGCTCAGGCCTGCTGCCGTGGCGCCCACCTGTCCACCAGGGCTCAGAGCAGCTGAACAGGCTGGCGTGGGCCTGGGCCCTGGGGAGCCTGGGGTGGGGCCCGGGCCTGCCCGCCAAGATGAGTCCATTCACCAGCCGGACGGGCCGATCCTGAGCCGGCAGGGGCGGGGGGCCAGGATGCCGAGGCTCATGGGGTGCCCGGAAACGAGCTGGGTCCACGGAACCCAGGTCAGGGTCCAGCGCGTCAGCGTCCTCAGAGTCTGTGCTGTGGGGGGGGGGGGGGCCCGAAGCTTCCGGGGGGGGGCCCCCCGGGGCAGGAGGGACCCCAGGAACAACGGGGGAGGGCTGGAGTGACTGCAGCACAGCCAGGGCAGGTGGGGCCCAGGGAGGGAGCACAGGGGTCAGGGGACCGTTGTCCTCATATCGAGCAGCAGGAACTTCTAGAGCGAGTTCCTATGACAAGCCCAAGGGCTCTGGGGCGCGACAGGCCCACCCATCAGCAGAAAGCCCTGGAAGTCCCCAGGGAAGGGCTCCCAAGGCCAAGGCTGCGGGTGTGGGTGGCAGCTCAGCCTGACCCTCCCCAGAGTCTGAGCCTTACCGTGGCCCAAGTCCCCAGGCCTGGAGGACACCTGCAGGGCGGCTGGTGACGCATGGATCCAGGAGTAGTCCCCCACCCGACCCCGGCCCTTCATTTAGATCCACCTTCACAGGGACACTGAGCCCACCCCGGTTACCTTGTCCAGAGCCCAGCCAGCGTCATCTCAGGCTGATCCGGGAGTCCAGCTGCTGCAGATGCTCCTGCACACCAAAGGGGATTGTGGGAGTCCACATTCTGCAGGGAGAGATGGGGCTCAGTGGCCAGGCTAGAGGACAGGAGTCAGGGGCTAGAAGGAAATTCTCCTTCAAAGAATAGCCTGACTTTTACAAGAAACAGCCCCCTGGGAGACATCCTGCAGCTACCTATCTCCCTGGAACAGCCTGCGGTCATCAGGATCATCAGACACCCCGCAGCTGGCAGTTTTACCACCCACATCCAGCAACTGCTGCTCAGGGAGCTTCCCCATCCCCAGCATATATATGCCCTGTGTGACCACCAAAAGTTTGCAGCTTGATCAGAACTCCTGTCTGGCTGTCATCCCCCTGTCTCTCGTCCCTTCATTCCTCCCCACCTAGGTTCGCATCCCTCGTTGATGTGTCCTGCCGGTGGGGACAGACAGGATGAGTCTGGGCTCCCGGGCCAGCTGCCCCCAGATCCCTCCTCCTGGCCAGCCCTGAAGCTGGACGAGTCCCCCGCTGGCTGGGTGCAGACCAGTGTGGTTCTGCTGGTGACCTGCTGTGTGACCTCAAAAGGTGGGCCACTCTCTGCGCCTTACTCTCCTCATCTGTGAAGTGGGTCTTATAGGCGCCACCCGACCCGTCTTGGAAGACGCGGGTACGGAAATCAAAGTGCTCTGAAGAGCAGCCGGCACCAGTACTGGACATTCGACGTCATTTGGCTTCAAGGAAAACAAGTTGGGACAGCACGGAGTCGCCAGGCGCACGGCCCAGGAGGGCTGATCGGAGGCAGTCCCTACGGTTCGTCCTGGGGAAGCATTTTCGAATGCCGTTGTGTGCCAAATACTCCTGAAAGCTTTATTCACCTCAGCTCACTGAAACTTCCAACATCGCCATCCTCCCCCTTTACAGGTGAAGAGACCACGGCCAGGGAGCAGTCTCGGAGCTCTGGTCACACCCCGCCCCACCCCCGAGAGGACAGATTCCACCTTCAGGGCCACCCAGACTCACGCCAGTGTCTCCACGTGAGGGCACTTTCTCAGGCTGGAGGCCAGCTGCTGGGCGCCCGCGGCTGTGAACTTGTTGTACTGGACGCTGGGGAGAGAAACCTGTACTGACCCCTGACCCCTGGGGCCACGCCGCTCCAGACCCAGGCCCCCTCCACACCCAGCCCTTCCCGTGATGCCGGAGGGAGACTCCTGAGGCCAGAGCCAGCCACCTCTGCCCAGACGCCCACTCACTCCAGCACCCGCAGGGACGCCATCTCTGGAAGCGCGCGGGCCAGGCTCTCTGCTCCCAGGTCGCAGATGCAGTTATTATACAAGCTGCCAGAGGGAGAGGTGGGGAGGGCTTCAGGTGCTGAGGGCCAGGGCCAGCGGGATGGCGCTCAACTCGAACCACTGTCCCATTTACGGAGGAGCAAACCGAGGCCCAGGGTTTTGAGGCTCTTCTCTGGTCACACGAGGGGAAGTGGCTCCCCGGCAGAGAGACTGGGAACTCCCGGGCTCAGATCCCACCTGCCCGTGCTGCCTTTCTTCACTCCCCCCGACTCGTCTGCAGAGTGCACACCCGAGCAACCGTGGGGAAGGGCAGATGAGGAGGGCCCGGCTGTTCACTCTGACTGTCCCACAGGTGCCGTGAGGCTCACCGGGGTTACAGAGAGCTGTGGCCAGGGCTGGCATAGCCAGAGAAAGACCACGTCACTGGGCCAGCCTGGGTTTCTGTGGTCCCTTCCCGGCCACCATTCCTAGCAGCGTAGGTGACGTGGTGGGTGCCGCTGGCACAGAGGGACGCTGTGCGCTCTTTCCTGTGCATCCTTCCCCCAGGCCAGAGCCGCGCTGGTTCTGGTTTCAGGGGTGCCTCCTCCGTGGCTCAGGCTCGGAGCCGCCCTGCGGGGCTGCGTGTGACGGGCTGCGTGTGACAGGCTGCGTGTGACGGCGCGGGGCAGATGCAGGCTGAATTCCAGCCAATCCTCGCCTCATAGGTCCACGCGGAGAGTTGCGGGGACTTGGTGGCTCTTTCTGGGCAGGTTTGGGAACCCAGGAGCCCCTCCTTCCCACGCAGGTAGAGGGACCCTGCTGCGTGTCTCTGCTGCCGAGAGGCCACGTCTGTCTGGATACCTTGGGGTCGGGACAGGCCTCCGGCCCCATGGAGCACAGGGTGTGTCGCAGCAGTTTGCGCTTAGCGGTGTCAGGAGGGGTGGCATCTCAGAGTCCACAAAACATGACGTCCACCCCTCCTGCCCCTCCACTCACATCGCAGAAACAGGAATGCCTGCGTCCAGCCTCCTGGCCGCCTCTGCACGGTGAGGACTCTGGTGGCCTTTCCTACCACGTCTGCCACCTGTCCCTTATTTACGATGGCCACCACAGGAGGCCCTTCTGGCCCTGAAAAACCCAATGTCTAGTTCCTAGCACTGTTCTGGCCCTCGGTTCACGTTGGAGAACACTGGATGCCTGGCACCACTCTGGCACATGGACTCTGGGTTGTGCAGTACACAACCCGTTCAGCGGCCCCCTGTGCTCCTTGCTGGGTGCACCTCTAGGAGTGGACCAGAGACCGTCTGCCCTGGAGTGTGACTCTGGATGTCAGTGAGGAGGCCTGGAGAAGGGGAGGGAGGTTCCCCCAGGCTGGAGAGCTAGGAGAGCTGGCTGTGCCAAGCTGAAGGACTGTGGCTCTGCCCAAGCTCTGGCCCTGGGTCTGGTACCACACCACAGCGAGCAGCATGAGGTGCTGTGCCGAGTCCCACCAGGAGGGGGCAGTGTAAGCACTGACTGGCCACAGAGTGACCGGCAAATTCCCTCCAGAGCCACCACCCCTGGACTCCAGAAAAGCCCAGTCCTGCCTTCCAGTCGGGAAGGCGCCACCACCCCCCACCCCCCCCCCCCCCCCCCCCGCTTGCAGGCATTGCGTCAGGCGCTTCGCACAGAGGAAAGGCCTCCCCCATTCTCCCCCGGGGTCCTGCTGACCCTCCTGTTCAGGGCCACAGTGATGCGCGTCCCTAGGGAGTCCTGTTCAGCTGGTCCGGCTGGCTGCCCGCCTGGTGTCGTGCAAACTTGGGGCAGCAGCCTCATGGCCCAGAGCCATTGCTCCAGGGTCCCCTGTCACCCCCCAGCCCGCCAGCTCGGCACCAGGGCCCACTCACCTGAGCCTGAGGAGGGTCGCAGCAAGTGAGGGCAGGGCCTCGGCCAGCTTGCAGGCCCCCACGTCGGTGATGCTGTTCTGGGACAGGCTGCAGGGGGACAAGGGACGAGGCAGAGGCTCAGGACCAGACCTGTCCGCCCCCTTCCCTCAGCCTCCATCCACGTTCCCTGGCTCCACCAGGCCGAGCCGGGAACTCTCCCTCACAGGGCGGCCTGTAGCCGCACAAGGCACAGTGAGGCAGCGTGGGGTGAGGGTGAGGTGGGTGGGAGACAGTGGGCCCCCCACCTGCTCCTCCTTGGGAGGAGATACGTGTTGTTAATACGTGTCTGCGTTTTATTGGTTGCCTCTCCAGGCAGGAGCTGGGCTCCACAAAGAGAGGGCTCCTATCCCTGTAGCAGTACCCAGCACATACTAAGTGCTCAGTAAGGACTTAGGGAGGGGAGGGAGGACAGTGGGCAAGATCTGGCTTGCAGTCTCACCCACGACACGCAAACTACTGTAGGAGAAGGCTCCAGGGGTCCTCAGTCAAGGACATCACTCAGTGAATTCTGGGAAATCCTTCGGCCATCCCAACCTTGGTGGAATGTGAACAGGTGCTCATACCCCCTAGGTTCAGCGAAAAGAGCCTGTTGGTCCTCCTGCACCTTATCTGTCTCCAACTTCCCAAAGCCCAGGACAGTTAAATTATACTTCCCAGCTACTCGGGAAGCTGAGGCAGGAGGGGCACAAGTTCAAGACCAGCCCCAGCAACTTAACAAGACCCTCTCTCAAAGTAGAAAATTTAAAAGGCTGGGGATGTAGCTCAGTGTCAGAGCACCCTGGGTTCAGTCCCTAGTACCGTGAAGAAAAATTTCAGTGTTTCAACAACAATGTTGAAATGAAAGCCTATCACTCCTACTTCACCCTCTCAAGATAATTTTCTGTCAAGATGATTTTCTGCCTTGTTTGCTTTCCTTACTGTGTACTTTATAATTGAAGGTTTGTTTACATGTTTGTCTCCTCACTAGATTTCCCGATCCCTGAGGTTGGGGGATTTACTGTCGTTTTTAAAGCTGGATCTTCAGTCTATGAGGTGCCTGTAGTAGTAAAAGTGTCCCTTAAATAGTTATTGATTAGGTTAAGTGATTGATGAGTGGGTGAGTAAATTGAGAAAAAATTAAGTGCGTGAGTGAGTGATTGAATGATTGAATCAGTGAATGAATGAATGAGCCAGCCAATGAATGAATGAGTGAGGGAATGCATGAATGAAGGGTTGGATGACTGAATGAGCCAGCAGTGAATGACTGAATGAATGAATGAGCAAGTGTGTGAATGAGTGAGTGAGTGACTGGATACTTTGTTGCCAGAGGCCTGCTGACTGAATGGATGGATGGATGGATGAATGGAAAGCCCGCAGGGCTTTGGGGGCCACTCACTTGAGTGTCTCCAGGGCCTTCAGCTGAGGGAAGGTGGCTGAGAGCTGCGAGACTCCCTCGTCCCCAATCTTGTTCTCGCTCAGCGAGTCCAGGCTGCGTGGAATCAGAAGGGACCGTCGGCCAGTCTGGAGAGCAGCTGGCCTCCTCCCGCCCGGTACCTCCCCTCCCATCCCCCAGCCTGGGGGCACCGAGGGCCAATGGCCCCCTTCTGGGCTGAGAGTGGACTTCAGGACGTGGGCCAGGGGATCTGGGCCAGGGGACGAGGTCTAACTCCTGGCAAGCAGAATCCCTGGTTGGCTTCTTTGGAGCCGGGGAGCCTGGGCACCCCCTTAACCTCTGGGAATTTCATTGCGAGGAGGGATCAGCCCTCCCACCTCCGGGAAGCCATTGCTCTGAGCAGCAAATGAGGGCTTTCAAAGGTCCCAGGAGGATTTTTTCAATTCAGATTCTCCTCTGTTGCCCTTCTCTGCAGTGGAGTCACCCGGTCATCACACTAGCCATGCCCAGGAGAGCAGGCAGGGAGGTGGGCAGGCAGGGAGAAGGCTCTTTCTCTGCACGCGCCTGGGGCAGGGGCAGGGCTGCCAGGACCCAGGTAGGGGCCCCGGGTCTTTACTCACTCCAGATGCTGAAGGGACGAAAAGGCGGGGAGAATCTTGGCCAGTCTGGGGAAAGCCTGGGGACCCCAGCTGGGGCCCAACCTAGGAGGCAAGGAGCAAGGTCAGACCCCACCAGCCGCGCCTCCTGTCCAGCCTCAGGGTGGGGCCGAGGGGCACCCAAGCCGGCACAGTCCCCTGCCCCGTCCTGCATCCCCAGCCCTGCCTGGCCCCAGGGGCAGCGGTCACAGAGCCCCCACAGGAGGCCAGCTGGGCTCTGGCTCCCAGCCCTCACGCCTGCTGACAGCCACACATGCCCACCCTCCTTCCGCTCTAGCCCAGCGACATGGCCCCCAAACGCCAGCCCAGGACCTCCAGTGACAAAAGGGCTTACTTGTCTTTCCATTTGAAATAACAACAAAAAAAAAGGAGGGCCATTTTTGAGCACTTATTATATGCTAGGCACACGCTGGGTCCTTTCATTGGCTTCATGACTCTGAGCTAAGTGCTCTTCTTTGTCCCACTTTATAGATGGGGAAATTGAGGCACAGAGAGGCCAAGTAACTCACACAAGGTCACACAGTCTGGATTGACATTTAGACCAGACATCAAGGGAATAAAAAATAAGGACAATGAAGGGCTGTTTTGTTTTTAAAATCTGGCTAAATGTATTCAATAGGAAGAGCAGTCTTTTATTCTGAAATTACATCTTTTGAGCTTTTTTATATTAAAATATTATTATTTTAATGATATTTGATAAAATTATGGTGCCACCAGTTGTTATTTTGTTTGAATGAATGGAGTTGGTGAAAATTAAGAGAGAGTAATTCATTCTGGAATGTTCTCAGTCTGTAAAGTCCCAAACTCTGGGAATGTGGAGCCTCAGGAAAAGGCCACAGGACGGACCGGAGCGTGGCTCCAAGGTCCGTGCGCAGCCTGTGCCAGGCGCGTGGTGAATGCCTGCACTGTTCAGCCTCTGTCTCCTTGAACACTCAGCAAGGCTCTCAAGAGGCTGTCTAAAGGTCAAGGAGACCCTCACCCGTGTTCACTCCATGTGCCATAGGAGCCTCTGCCTTTAGCCTGGCACAGGGCACACACCTGCCATCCCAGAGGCTCGGGAGGCTGAGGCAGGAGGACTGAGTTCGAGGCCAGCCTCAGCAACTTAGTGAGACCCTGTCTCAAAATAAAAAGGGCTGGGGTGTTGCTCAGTGCCCTCCTGGGTTCAACCCCAGTGCCCCCACGTATAAAGGGAGGGCAGGAGATGAAATGATGGTAAACAGGATACTGGGGGCTGAGTCCAGGAAAGACCCTGACCACAAGGGCTGTCCTTGCAGGGTTCAAGCCATCTGACCCGATGGGTACAGTGGAAACCAGAGCAGATGCCCAAAATAGTCCCTCCCTCCCTCCCTCCCTTCCGTCCTTCCTTCCCCAGAGCCTCTCTGAGGCTGCACCCTCCAGGTGGCTGTCCACTGGCTCTAGGCTGTTCCACCCCAGGGCTGCTGTTCCCCAGAGCGCAGTTCCGACCTTGAACTAGGGGGTTTTTAAGCTGAAAATAATCTGACGCCAGAAAGGGCCGCCGGTGCCTGTCCTCAGCCGTTTCCTCTTTTCAGCCCAGTGTTTACCCTGCACGAATGTGGCACCCGTCTTCTGCTCCCAAGGCACCTGCTTTCCTGGGGTGTGCGGGGCAGCGGTAAAGGAGGAGCCGAGAGCTCCCTGGTGACCAGTGGAGGGACCGTGGGGAAGTCCCTGGACCTCGCTGGGCCTCAGTGTCCTCGTCTGTCAAACGGGGAGATGTGGTAATGCCCGGGAGGCGTCACGTGGGGTAATGGAGGGGGCCCTGAAGATCGAAAGGCTCCTTCCTGCAGACGCACCTGGACAAGGAGCCAGCACAGCTCCTCAGGGCCCGCGAGCTGGTGGGCTGCCCCGCTGCAGTGTCCTGGAGCCCACCGTCACCTGGCAGCACTGCCCAGAATGGTGCACACAGGGTGGTCACCTGGCCCAGGGTGCCTGAGACCAAGGGGTTTCCCAGGACACGAAACTCGCTATGCTACAACCAGGCCGGTCCCAAGCAAGCTGGAAGGTCACTGACCCCAGCTACAGAGCTAGGGCTCCTGGGAGCCAGGCCTGGGGACCCAGGAACTCTGGTGCTGAGGCAGGAGGGTCTCGAGTTCAAGGTCAGACAGAGCAACTTAGTGAGAGGAGACCCTGTCACAAGGTAAAGAAATGACAAGAGCTATGGACGAAGCTCTGTGGTCCGGCAGAGCGCTCTCGGGTGCAGTCCCTAACACCCTGCGCACGCGAACACACACCCTGCTCCCCGGAGTCCTTGGAACTGGAGGGACAGTCCCTGGGTGGAGGAGTCTGACCGTCCACACGTACGAGACCCCCAGTGGTTCCCATACGCAGCAGGGCTGAGAACCAGCAGGGGATGGGACGGACCCAAGGGCTTAGACGCGGTGGCTGGTGGCTGGGCTGTGCACCCCGGGCCGTCCCTTGCCACAGGAGTCAGCCAGCTCCGGCGTGGAGGCATTGTGCACTTGGCTCCGGATATCCCTCCTGCACAAGTGCCCTGGGCCTCCAGCCCACTGGGGACGGCCACCTTGGCCTCTCCGGCCGTGTTCAACAGCCTGCGGGGCAGCGAGTGGGAACGACCTCGTTCTCCGGCAAATGGGCCGGTCAGCTTCGAGGGTGAGGCTCTCCAGCACCTGCCCCGACCAGGCGCACCCGCTGCGGAAACTGGTGTCCCAGGTGGGGGACGAGCGGGCAGGTGTGGTCCTGCTGAGGAGGGAACCGGGCTCCCTCGGACGGCCCTGCCCCGGCACTTACGCAAACTCCAGCTTCTTCAGGTCGCGGACAGCAGGCAGGGTCCCCGGGGCCTCTTCAGAGGAACTCCTCAACCTGGGGAAAACGGCGGAGTCAGGGGAAGGGCCTCTCCTGTCACTGAGCCCCTGCCCTGGTGCCCCACTGTCCCGGGAGGATGACTTCCTTGGGGCCCTGTTGTCCTCCGTTAAGAAGACAAACACCAGGACCGTGCGTTTCATGGGCACTTCCCAGCGCCTGGCCCAGGCGGCACACAGCAGGTGCTCAAACATCGCACGGTGAAGAAAGAGCTGAGTCAGCTAACTTCCTTTGCCCTCTGACCTCGGCTCTGCCATCTTTAAAGGCCACGCTGCAGGCCCCGGGTTAAGCTGCCGTTTCAGAGGCAGAAGGCCCCCTGTTCGCTCTGCAGGAGGGTTCCTCTTGGCCTCAGCCAAAAAAGAATGTGGCACCGATGGCAGGCGCTGAGTCAAGCAGAATGTGAGATGGTGGGCCCTCTGCTGGGTGGCCACTGCCCGGGGAGAGGGCACAGGGTGTCTCACAGGAGCAGAGGCACTGGCCATCCCCCTGACAAGCTCCAGAGGGTCCCACAGGGCCTCCCCTGCAGGCCTGGCCCACCGACGCCCTCACCTCTGGGTCTGCACGAGACTCTCCAGATCCTGCACGTCCTTCAGGGACTTGGCCTTAAACGGCTCGATGGTGAACTTGTCCTCTGCGGCCTGGAGTAGCCGGGTCTCCCCACGCTGCTGCAGGGACTCCCACAGCCCCATTGTGTCACTCAGGGCGGCCCTGTGGAGGGAGGGCCTCAGACCCAGGCACAGTGACCAGGCTAGACCAGAACGGAGGGGCAGCTCTAGGGAAGGACCGACAACGACCCTTTCCTGCCTTCACTTGACTTCCACTTCCCCACTCCAGACAGGACCATCCAGCCTCAACGAGTCCTCCTTTCTCATGACTCAGTGGTTGTCTCCTTTCGCTTTGGCTACTAGGAAGCTCAGTGTTGAGTCTGGGGCGCAACTGTGTCGGATTCACAGTTTGGGTAAAGTATGTTTAGAGGGAATCTGGCAACGATTCCCGGGAGATTAAGATGAAGCGCTCAGATTGTAGGAGGGCTGGAACGAGCCAAATGAAAGAATGTAGGCTTCATCCTGAGGGTGACGGGATGCCCTGAGGGTTGTACGCAGAGGCGGGATATGATCCATGCAAGATCTGGGAAGACTGTTCTGGTGGCTGGAAGTACGTGGAGCAGAAGAGGATATGATGGAGGTAGCGAGGCCAAGGGGAGGCTGGGCCTCTATGTGTGAGAAAACAGGAGCTCCATCAGGGGATGGAGGGAGGAAAATGAGTTTGAGCCCAGGTCAGTCCTAGAGTCTCGCCGGTCCTGGTCCCTGACGCTCAGGGGCCTTCTGCCATTGGCCCCCCACTGGCCGCCAGGGGTGTGAGCCCTGCCCTCCTGTCTCAGGCTCCACCCTCACCGGAGGAGCCCGCGGGCCCCCAGCTGCCGTCCCCTGCCCCCCACCTGAAGCGGGTGACGGAGGCGAGTCCCACGAGGCTCTCCAGGCCGGAGGGGTCGATGCCCGTGCTGCGCAGGTCCAGGGAGAAGTCCCGGCCGGCCGCGCTCAGGGCCTGGCCCAGCACGAAGGCGTCGGCGGGCGCGAGCCGGGCGCCCAGGAGGCCGAGGCGCGCGGGCAGCTCCTGCGCCACGTGCTGCCAGAGCGCGGCCTCCTGGGCCTCGTGCGCGCAGTGCAGCAGCTCGAGCAGCCGCCGGGCGCGCAGGGAGCCGGGCTGCAGGCGCCTCAGGTACCTGGCGAGCGCCCGGCGCTTCCTGTCCACGGAGGCGGCCTCCGCGGGCGCCACCAGGGCTCCCAGGCAGGTGGCCCGCGGCTGGAAGATCAGTCCCGACAGGAAGCGCGGCGCGGCCTCCAGCCAGTTGTCGTAGGGCCTCTTCTTCCTCGGGGTCAACGCCAAATACTGCGGCAGCTCCTTGTCCTTGATGTCGCCGCTCAGGGCCAGCCACAGGGCCCCCAGGAAGCACTGGAGGACGAAGCTGGAGAAGGCCAGCTGCCCCCCCGCCGTCCCCGGCACGGGCCGCACGAGGCCTCCGGCCACCGCCCAGGTCCTCGCCTCTGCCGACGGGAACTGGCCCTCCCGCAGGGTGCCCTGGTGCGTGCGGCCCATCTCCCAGGCCAGCTGGGCCAGTCCCGCCAGGGCCCCCGGGGGGCTGCCGCGGGCCACGGGGCCCAGCAGGCCAACGTAGAGCCCCGTGAGCGTGGGGGGCAGCTGGGCCTGGTCCCCCTGCGCCAGCAGGGCCTCGGAGAGCTGGCACACGGCCCTGCACACGGGGGGGCTGTGGCTGTGGGCCAGGAGGAAGGGCCGGTCCCGCAGGAGGGCCAGGGCTCTCTCTGGGTGGCCCGTGGCCCCCGAGGTCTCAAAGTAGCGCCTGGCGTAGTCCTGGGCCTGCGCGCCGGAGAAGCCGGCCACCTCGAAGAGCGCGTGCGCCTTGCTCAGGCTCTGCGCCAGGCGGCCCCGGGGCCGAGCCGTGAGGAGCAGGGTGCAGCCGCGCAGCAGCTGCCCCTGGAGGAGGCCGGCCAGCAGCCCCCGGCACCCGCGCTCCGCCGTCGGGGGTCCGCCCGGGCCGCCGTCCTGCGCCTCCAGCTCCTCCAGGGCGTCGAGGGCCAGCAGCACGCGGTCGGGCCGCCGCAGGAGGTGCCTGAAGACCTCGTCGTCCAGGGCCAGCGGCCGCGGGCCCAGGGAGCAGAGCAGCTCTCGCAGGTGGTAGGTGTCCCCGGGGCGGTCCAGGCCGCGGCAGGACGCGTAGAAGACGAAGTCGTACTGCGGCAGCTGGCCGCCGGCCCAGGCCACGCCGGCCGCCCGGGCCCAGTGGCTCTTGCCCTGGCCGGCCTTGCCCAGCACGGCGATCACCAGAGTCTCCCGCGGCCGCCGGCGGTGGCCGGCCGCCGCCAACACCCCCGCCAGACCCCCGCGGGCCAGCTGCCGCTCTGCCCAGTCCGGGGTGGCCAGCTCCCGCTCCTGGCTCTTGTTGCTGCCCTTCTCCAACCTGGCGCTCACCAGATCCACCTCCACGGCGATGCCCTCGCGGCCCGCACGCGTGGCCTGGTACTGGTCCCGCAGCGCGTCCTGGAACCGCCGCACCGTCTCTGCAGAGGCCAGGGATGCTTCCGTCAGGGGACGGAGGGCCGGTCCGCACGCGTCCCCAGGGTCTCCAGAGGTGGACACTCAACGCGCTCTTGGTCCAGCAGCCCACGTCCACGGATCCCCTCAGCTTCTGGGCTCCAGATCTGCCTGCTCCTATTGCCCTCCCTCCTCCCTCCTCCCTCCC